TTTCTACATTTATAATAAACCTGCAGTATATCAACTACTAATTAATTAATCATTTATTTGGTTCTAAGTTGAAAGGTGACAGCAATTACAAACAAACCGATATGTGACAGATAGCGGTATGTAAAATTGTTTTTCCATATTTGACATAATTTAGATAGAGCGGGTACCGTAAACTAAAGACAAAGGAAGTTTTCTCATTTTTTTTTCTCTAAAACGTTATGCAAAGGCATACAAATTTCATATGGTTGGAAAGAGAATAAAAGAAATATATCAAAACATGCAAAAAAATTTTCCCATTAAAAAATATATAGATGACGTCACCACTCATCTAGTGTGACAAAAAAAAATTGTATTGTATATACTGTACAGGGTGTCCAAAAATGGGTTTGTTTAATGTGCTGTGCCAAGTTTTATTTTGAATTTATTTAAAAAATTATTGTGTACAGAGTACTTTTTAGTCCTTGTCTTGGCTACAAATTTTAAAACCACTCAGCCGTACATTCTAATTTTCAAACTGTTTTTAATTGGAAATTCGCTTTTTCTATTTTCGTTTAACTATTAGTTAGCTAGTTCTCATTAACAGTAATATTTACTTAGTAAACTAATTTTCATGATGATATTTTAATAACAAAATCGCAATTCAGTGACTCTAGAAGAAGAAACATACCTAATGCCCTACGCCATCTATGCACACTTTTCAGAATTTGTCTCTTACATTCTAACTTGAAAATTCTTATCTTTTCAATTTTCTTCACACTGTGCAAACATGTTGTTACTTTTATATTTCAGGTTTCTACTTTTTATACTCTTGAATCCGTTAAACGTAATATTGAGATAACTATACAGGAGTAATGTATACCACCGGCTACTCTACTACAGGTGCGCTGATGTCGTCCATCTGTAGTCGGGTACAAAACGGTGAAAGGCAATACGCTGTTTATGTTGGTTTGCGAATTGACTAATTGATTAATTTACAGTGTCACTATATTAAGAAAATATAACTCGTTGAAAGATTTTTTTTCAGTTGTGCGTGCCCAGAGATAATGCAAACAAGTTTATTTATGTTCAACAAATTCATTTCTTTACTACTGCGAATCGAATTTTACATATGTGTACCTTTGCAAATTAAAATACCACCAGTACAGCTGGGGACAATAAAGCCTGCATTTTATTAGTTTCGCTCTTGAAACAGCTTTAAATATTATAGGTTGGAAATCTTTAAGTATCAAAGATTTCATAAAATATTAGTTGCAGTTTATCATACACATAATTATTTTTAACTATATTTAACTTAAATAATATGTAATTACACATTTTATGTGGACTGTTTCTAATCGATTAATATAAGTAACATGAGTATGGTTGTTCCTGTTCCACATGATGTTGGTAAAGATATGGGTTTAGTTTTGAATAAAACTATATAGCTTAAAACTTACACATCATATTCATATTCGCAGTATAATACATATAATAACAAATAGAAAACTCTTAGGCACTAAATAATTATTAAATATTGCAATCTTGCAATACTATAATTTACAATTTTCAGAGGATAACCAAAGAAACAAGAAACCATAGATAACGAAAGCCAAACTTCAAATTAGAGATGTATTGCTCTTTCACTGTCTGCTACTTTGGCACTGTTCCGCAGTTGTCACTGGAGCTGACGGTTCCGCTGCTACAAAAGAAGCGGTGATTTTTCGGAGCGTTTACTGCAAAGTGTCTCTGGTACAATTTACTAGCGCCAGAGACATAGCTCAGGCGTGCCGAACACAGCAGAGCAGATTCTCGCTCAGCCGTTTCGATCTGCGCTTGAATTAGTCACAGTGTCACACACTAAACATATAATACATTCGCAGTACAGTCGCGTTTGATTTAAAGACATTGTATTTCAGCAACTAGAGCAATGCGTGTATTGCTGGTTGCTGCTCTACAAATATTTTAAAAGTTTTTGTTTACAAAATCACTAAGCAAAAAACATGCGACTGTTCTTCATTTGTTATTGTTGCACTCGCGGAAAAATTTTGAATATCTGGCACTGTACTCATTGTAGGATGTCGTCGTTCTATGTGTCTTTTTAAATTGGTGATTGAAGATTTATAATAAATATTTTGCTTGCATATATAAAGACAATGACTTAGACAAAATCCTTTCCTGGCCCCAGACAATTGCCATCGGGGACTTCAACGCGAAGTCCCCCATATGGCACAGCGGGACGACGACCACAAGAGGTCGCATCCTGCTGAATTACCAAGACAGACACGACGACTTGACGATACTGGGACCGACAGAACCGACACATTACGGACCCGTAGGACGCCCCGACGTCATCGACATTGCCCTCTTAAAATCTATACCGTTAAATGCCCAAATATCCACCCAATACGAAGGGTCTTCCGCCCACAATCCAATATTTCTGGATCTGGGGCGAAGACAGAGATATGAAGGCACCTTCACGAGGAGGTTCACTGACTGGGAGCGTTTCCGAACAGTAATGCAAGGAAACATGGCGCTCCCAGTCATCGAAACCACCCATGATCTGGAGGCGGCAATCCTCTCCCTTGAGACTGACATTAAAAACGCCCTGACTCAGACTACGACGGAGACTATTGTCCCCCGACTGACAAACCCCCGGGGCACCCTCCCCGATGACATAAAAAACTTAATACGTGACAGACGACGTGCGAAACGGCTTGCCACCCGCACCCGACTCCCCCGACACAGACATGACTTAAACGTACTTAACAGACGGGTGAAGGCGGCTCTGGATGAACTGGCCCAGGATAACTGGGCTAGGCACCTGGAGTCGCTGGATCCACAAGACAACAGCCTCTGGAAAACGCAGAGGGCCCTGCGACAGACCGCTCGCCGTAAAATTCCTCCAATCCACGGTAGTGTGGGGGTGGTTTACACGAACCAGGAAAAGGCCGAGGCTTTCGCCGATAGCCTGGAACTGCAGTGTAGACTGCCTCAGCTGCCCGACGAAGACGAGGAATTCGAGATAGTGGCTGAGCGCGCGGCCCGACGCGTCGACAGAGAGCCAGACAATGACATAATCCCCCCCGCAACACCTGACGAACTAAGACTGACAATACGCAGACTTAAAAACAGAAAAGCCCCCGGACCCGACAATATACATAACACGACACTTAAACGACTACCACACAAGGGCCTCATGGCCCTACTAAACATAACAAACGCGACACTCAGACTAAGACACTTCCCTACCCGCTGGAAAACAGCAAACATAATCCTTATCCCAAAACCCAACAAAGATCACACCATCCCATCCAACTACCGGCCCATTAGCCTGCTCCCGGCTATGAGCAAAGTGGTAGAAAAAATTATCCTAACCCGTCTAAGAACCCACTCCCAAGAACTGCAAGTCATTCCAGACGAGCAGTTCGCCTTCCGACCCAATCACTCCACTGAACTCCAAATCCTTCGCCTTACCGAGCACATCACGGCGGCCTTCAACAGGGGACAGTACACTGGTGCTGTCTTCCTGGACGTCGCAAAGGCCTTCGATACGGTTTGGCATGAAGGCCTACTGATGAAAATGCTCACCAACCAATATCCCATATCCTTTACCAAACTCATAAAATCCTACCTACACCACCGAAAATTCCGCATCCAAATCCAAGATTCCCTTTCCACCACCCGTCCCATGGAGGCCGGTGTCCCCCAGGGCACCGTCCTGTCCCCACACCTATACACCATTTACAACTCCGACATCCCACATCCCCCCAACACCAACATATACTTATACGCCGACGACCTGACAATCACATCCCAATCCGTAGATCCTAGATATTCCGTCTACCTCCTCCAAAGCTCCTTAGACCAACTTGAAACCTGGTGCAACAGGTGGAAAGTCAAAATTAATCCCAACAAAAGTTCGGCTATCCTTTTTACCAAACGAAAAATCCCACAAAACCTTGACAGACTGACACTATCCCAGGAACCCATCTCCTGGAATCGACAAACACGATACCTGGGCGTGACGATGGACCAGCGTCTCACGTGGAAACCGCACATCGTGGAGACGGTGGCGCGAGCGAAGACCACCAGGGCTAGGCTCTATCCCTTACTCAAAGGTGGAAACACCCTCAGTTTAAGGAATAAGCGAACGCTTATCAAGGTGGTACTTCAACCGCAGCTAACCTACGCCTCCACGGCGTGGGGTCACGCGGCAAAAAGCCACTTAAAGTCATTACAGGCTGTGGAAAACATAGCCCTCCGCACGGCCACCGACGCGCCCTGGTACGTAAGAAACACTGACATATTACGAGACTTACAATACACAAACGCTACACAGACAATAAGACAAAACGCGGAGAAACGATTTGACGTAGCCGCTAGACATGACAATCCCCTCCTCAGGCAAGCCGTTGACTACGTACCCGACGTGACCGACAAACACAAAAGACCTAGACACCAACTTTTTGACCCTGGGTGACCACCCCAATGACCCCCCCCCTGCCCGCTAACCTTTTCTGTTTCAGAGACAGCCAGGATCAAGAAACGAAGACAACGACACACACACACACACACACACACACCCCCCATACCCTCCTTAACCCTCCCCTCCCGCGCTAGCCTAAGGGCCACCTTAGCAAAGCGCATCCCAGGCTGCATAGCCGCACTACCCTACCCAACCATACCACACATAAACATGACACTACCCCCGGGGTTTACACAGACGAGCCGGCGAAGCAAGAAGAGCGCCAGAAGAAAGGGCCCTAGCCGGCGGGGCCCAGCCAGGACAAAAGGAGGTCCCACAAAGCGCCTACACCGGCCGCATTTGCGGTCGGGGTAGACGACGGATGGGGCCCACCTACGAAGGCTGTCCAGGCCTACACGAGATGAGGCAGGATAAAGAGGGATAATCCCCCTCAATCCCAAATCATTGAGGCCAATTTCTAGCCATGGAATAATGGCGCGCGGCGCTATAATTAAATTTTCTCGTGTTGGCAACACTGGCGTAAACATTCCCTCCTTTATACCTATAGGGAACTGGTGTATGCGTTGGATTATTCCAATTTATAAGTACTTTTTTTGTCAAGTAATTAGAATGACAATATGTCGGGATGGATGCTTCTGTTAATTTTTTCATGTGCTGTTTGTAGTAAGTAATCGACGACGTCATTTCTAAATGCACCGACTTATGTAGCATAAAGAAAAATACACTTTATCAAGAAGCAAAAATGCTAATACACAAAACAAAGTAACCAGAATCATTCTTGCTAAAAAAATTGAGAAAAAAGTACCGCAACTTTTTTATTAAAATAGGTGAGTAATTTCACAGTTATAATAATGAAATTTGTTACGTTAATTTTATTATTAGCTCACATTTTTTTTTTACTTTTTATTAAGGTTTTAAACTAATTCAAATTTACTTATTACAAACTTATTTGTCTCGACTTTAAAATAAACCTTTATAATAATCGTTTATTGACTCTAAGGAAAGGTCTCAAGTTAAATGTTTAAATATATAATAGAAAAACATACTTGATATGTTTACATTCTCAAATAATGTAATAATTCAGAAAAACACCCTATATTCTTGCTTTCACATTTGCCAAAGTTTGATCACATAAAAACAGCTGCAGATTTCTTTGTACTAGTAGTAATATTTGTTTCCCGCATTACCACCAGTTAGCAATCTTGTCTGTGAGGTTTGATATCTTCCATACCTACCTAGATTTCTGGTATCGAAGTTGTTTGACTTCATTTGATAGGATTCGTTTGAATTAGCTTAATACCTTAATAAAGAGTAAAAAAATTGTAACGTATTGAAAATTTTATTCTAGGAAACTATGGAAACAAATGTAAAAAAATATATAACTAGTCTGCTTACATCAACGCCTTTAGTTGTGACAATACAACAATTGAGTAAGGATTATAAAAATACTATAGGGGAGCCAGTACCTTATCAAAAATTAGGCTATAATTCATTAGAGCATTTCTTGCGTTCTATCCCAGACACTGTTCAGGTATGTATTTATAGAATATGTACTAGTATATATGTAATATATATGTAGTATATGTAATTTAAATACCATATTCACGTTTAAAGTAGTTATTTCCATCTTTAAGGTAAATGGATCAGGACCCATAGCTCAAGTAATTCCCGTTGCATCTGCAAAATCTGCTCATGTTAATCAGCTTGTTACTAAGCAGAAAATTGTGAAAAATAAAAAAAGCCATTTTGCTGTGCAGTAAGTTTTCAGTGTATTTTTTTTTTTAATTTTAACATTGACAAATTCCTAAGTTGTAAGTTCCAGACAACGTACAAATGGATTTTTGAAAAAATGATATTAGAGTGTTAAAATTATAATGTACGTTTTGAAAATTCTACAGGTTGTTCCTTAATGATATGCAAATATTTAAGGGTATGCATTTACATGGAAATTAATGATAGTTTGCTTTATAACCTGTGATCCAAAAATGTTCCATTGCGAAAATACAAGGTGATAAAATTTTAGGAAAAAGAAGGAAATTCATATTTTTTAAATCACTTGAGATATTTCAGATAAGAGCTCTCTTGAGTTTTTGTCCTGCGATGCGCCGTTTTTGATTAAACGAATAAAACCTGTTATATTGTCCTAATTAATTAATGTAATTATTGAATACAATTTTGTGATAAACCTAGTTGACCTGGAATGTGTCACTTGCATTTCTGACATTTTGAAGTATCTGTCGTTCAAATCTGTTCGCTGTGAATATCTTATTTTTACAATCTTGTTAATAATAGTGAGTTATTCAAATATTGAAATGGTGCAAATGCATTACAAGTATGGCCTTGTCGACGGTAATACAGAACAAGCCAGACGTATTTATCCCAGTAGTGAGTTGCCAGATAATTGAACCTTTTTTAATATTCATCGTCGTCTTGTTGGAACTGGTAGTGTCCGAAAATGTACATCTGAAGTCTGAAATTGTAAAAACACTTGAAATTGAAGATGTGGTGCTGCACGAAATTGGAGAACACGAAGAACAACCTGAAATGAGTACGAAGAATATCGCTAGATATTTAAATATTTGCCCCCAAATTGTTTGGAGAATTTTAGTGGATTTTTATTATATCCGTACCACATTTTGAGAGTATAGGCATTACTTCCTATTGATTTTCTAAAATGTGTGACCATTTGTTGATGGTATCTTCATAATGTTGCGCAAAATCCACAATTTGATTACATATTCTATTCACGGACGAAGCTAATTTTTCGAGAAATACCATTAAAAATGTTCACAACAATCATTTGTGGGCAAATGAAAATCCACATGCCATAACGGAAACCCATTTCCAACATCAATTTTTTGTCAACATATGGTCAGGAATCATTTGGTGACGACTATTGTACCATTCTGCCTGTGGGGACCATTTGATGGACAATCTTGCCGCAATTTTCTTCAAGAACAATTATTGCCTTTGCTGTTTGAAGGTCTCCCGATAGCCATTAGAAACCAATGCACGATGGTGCACCAGCACATTTCAGTGTAATGGTTTACCATTATTTACAAACTGTTTATACAAAACGTTGGATTGGTGGGACTCGAGAATGGCCATCAAGGTCCTCCGATCTCAATAGCTTAGATTTCTTTTTATGGGGCCATCTTAAGACGTTAATGTACGCAAGTGCCATTTATACTGTAGATGAATTAAGAGAAAGATTAATTGCAGCATGTGATAGAATAAAAAATATTCTGGGCATATTTCAACGAGTGCACAATTCCATGAGGGCAGAAACACATATTAAGTGAAAGAGGCCGTTTTCAACAATTTTTTTAATAATAGCTATAATGTTATGTTAATATTGTGTTTTTAATTGTTGTTGTTCATTACACGCATGTGCCAACTTATAATATATTTCATTTTTGCTATTACATTATTATTAATTTTTTTTTACTCAAAACTGGCTCATCGCAGGACAAAAACTCAAGAGAGCTGTTATCTTTCGAATTGAACTAGGATTTCAAAAATAATTTTATTTGGCAAAAACCATTGGTGTACTATTTTTTTTCTTTAAAAATATCAGTCAGTGATCGTATGCACGCCACTGTGAGAGCTAAAAGTTATGTTTGTATTGAAAAACATGCGCCTTATCATGGGCGTAACTACAATTTTTGCTTGGGATAGGCCCAAGGCTGTAAGCTCTCTAGTGGCCTCTAAGAAACAAAAAAGAGTTCTTAATCAGCGACTATCCGATATAAAATCTGAACACGTTTTGATTTGATTCTAAAAAAAAGGCCACGCAGTTACCAACTTACCGATTTGACAACCCTGCTCCCCCCTAGTTATACCCATGGCCTTTATTAACTATCACTACTAAATATCACTGAAATATCTCAAGAAATTTCGAGAATATTAATTAGTTTCCTTCTTTTTCTTAAAATTTTAACACCTATTTTCGCAACGGAACATTTTTGGACCATAATTTATAAAGTAGACTAACATTAATTTTCCATGTAGAATCACACCCTTAAATATTTGCATATCTTTAAGGAACACCACAGTCAAATTTTATTCTATCAAAATATTACAAAGATTTTGCAGAGGGTCAGAGACGTGCATTTTTTAAGTAAACATTCTATGTTTGACTAACATTTTGTTAGCCAAATGTAGTAAGGATAATGCGCCAATTTTGTTTTATTTTAGGAAACGGACGAATATATACCCTTCTGGAAGCAGCTATTTTCCTAACAAAATTGAAAATGTCTCACAAACGTCTAAGAAAATGTATTATCCTACTAATAATTATATTTCCTCCCTACCAAAATATTCCTCATACCCTACTCCTACATACAGTGGTAAACATCAGTCGGACAATTTGCTTAATAATTATGAACACTCTACATCAGGCAAAAATAATTCGTCAAAATGTGCTCCTCCAAAAGATAATGACGTATTAAAAAATCAGTCAAACATAGTGGAAGCTGTGAAAGATTCAAATAAATTTGAGAAGAAAATTTTGGAAGAAACCCCATTAAGTAGTTCAACCTCTAGAACTTCAAGCGTTGCCAAATGGGTGAGTAACTCAAAAAGAATCGTAAACGACTTGGAGAATATTTCCATGGGTCAGCTAGAAAATAGTGTTCCTATACAAGTTAGGAATAATTTGAGAACTTTGATCAGGCAGTGTCCAGAAGGTATTTGGTGCACAGAGGTTCCTGAAAAATACAGGTAAGGTATTCATTTTTTTTTTTTTTGAGTTAGAAAAAAGCAAAGTATAACAGATGTTCGGATTCAACACGATGCTTGAGAGAGAAAAGCCAGTTGATGAAGAACTACTGGCGAATTGCCACGTGTGTTCTCCCTAAAGATTACGTTATTTTCCATAACTTATCTTGTAACTTTGTAACCTAAATCAAATAAAGATCATATTAAAGGCATATTTTGATTCGGAGAGAAAAAAAGGTGTCGTAAAATGTTATGGGCAACTCTTAAAAAATTGAATATACAGTGCAAATTCTTTATAACGTCATTCGTTATAACAAAAAACTTCCTATAACATAGAAATTAGGTCAATTTGGTTGGTTTACGTTAAAACCCATACATTAATACACTCTTTATAGCGCAACAGCCATCCTCTATTACGAAGAAATATGTTCATATTTAGACGCCAGCAGATATTTACAGAAGTATTTAATAGTGTAATTGTTTTTATAATCAGCTTACAAAAGGTTCCGACTAAATCTTTGAGGTGCCGAAATTTCTAAGAAAGACCCTGAGGTTGTAAACAACTGCCTTTGTTATTGCTAATTGCCTCGAACACGTATGCCATTACTCTTGGATTACATTGTTTCTAGGAAATTTTGCACTCAGTTACTACATGCACTAGGCACCTATTGTGTATTATCAGTCATAAATCTACTTTGAAACTGCCAAGATGGCCAGTAAAAGAAAAGCGTTATATGTTAACGAAAAAATTTGATACGTGCGATAGAAAAAGGAGAAAAGAAAAGTAATGTTGATAAAATACAAAAAAAATATTGGCATAGCAAAAAACGTTAGGCAAAGTTAACAGAATATATTCCTGATTAATTTTTGAATCTGAATCCTGAATTAATAAGTAATCACTTTATTACTTCAATAACTTCACCTAAGGCTGATGACAGTTTAATAAATGAATTTAACAATTCTATATGGTCAAATACAAATCATAGCTTTTCTCTTAAGGAGGTTTGATACATCTCTTGCGGGGCAGGCGGTGCGGGAGGGAAGTCTATGCTTATACACGGTAGCTTCGTTGTATCAACCTTACATAAACTAATTTGAGCGATCTAAATATAATATATACGAATGAAATTTATACAACACATATTAGCTCGCATATATTTTTCATGTTTAATACACGGCAATTTACTTTTTATTTGAATAAAAGTGTCTATTTATTTATTAAGAGCTTGTAAAATTATGGATGAAATCTGGCAACATTGCCATTGCGTGGTGGTAAAAGTTGGGTCAACTATCATTACTGTCAACTGTGCTTTGCGCGGATTCCGTAAACATAAATGAACATCCAAGGTACAAAGGAAAAGTAATGACAGAAAAGCAATATAAAATACGTATAAAACAGAATGTGGATTGATGAGAAAAAAAAAGTAAAATGTGCAAACCGAGAATCCATATGATAACTATCAAGAAGCTCAGTGTATGATAGTGAGACGTCGCCTTGTCAAATTGAAGATTATGACAGAACATATATACTAGTCGTTTTGCAAAGAGATCCATTGCATTAGATTACGAAAAATTTATTTAATATTAATTATTACTACATATGTCTTCGACTGGAGTAATTTTATAGTCTATAATCGAGCTATTCAAATATAGCGTGTCAGTCAAAGCGTTAAATACAGCGTACAGTGTTGCCATATTTCCTTTCATTGGATCAGATGTTTGTTCAAATTTGTCAAAACGTTATATATTCATTCCATTATCTCAATAATTACATTGTAAGTGCATGTTTTTATTGTTTTAAAATGTTTTGTAATATTTAATTCTTTAATTACAATTTTATTTTCACGGTCCTAACCATTTTTAAGAACAATATTCAAGTTTGATTAAAGTTTTTTCCCAACTCGCATAAGAGCCTGTGTATAAGAGCATCATTTTTAATATAATTTTTCGAAAAAAAACTATATTGGCAATCGATCTGATATTTTTACATGAGGCAGTTGGCATATTTATTAACAGATTTCAATGATTTTGAAAACTATCCTACCATTTTTTTTCGGTATCGAACCTCCTTAAGTTAGCCAGTAATGTAGATATTATTGCAATAGTAAATAAATTACAGTCTAATGCTAAAGGTATAGATGACATAACTGCAGATATGTTAAAAATGTGTCTTCCATTTTGTGATAATGCTTTAACATACATTGTTAACAGTTCTTTGGTAGAAGGGTATGTTCCCACCGATTTAAAGTATGCCGTTGTCTCTCCAATACCGTGTCAACTTAAATGATTTACAGCCTATTAGCATATGATCAACAGTTTTGAAAATTTTAGAAAGATTTGCCTATTTTCAATTTAAGATTATCTTAATAAATATAATATTCTTCCATTGAGACAGTCTGGATTTCGTTCCGGCAATAGCACATCCATTTGTTTGTTGTATAACAGATGGTATATTATGTTCTATTGATGATCAGATGGTTACAGTAACTGTCATGCTGAATTATTCTAAGGCTTTTGATTGTCTTGGTCATAATTTACTTTTAGCAAAATGAAGTTACTATGGTGTTTCTAGTGATTCGTTATTATGGGTCAAAAATTATTTATGTGATCATAAGCAGGTAGTTAAAATAAAGAAAGATGACCAATATGTGTTCTCTAATGAAGTAAAAATTAAGAGTGGTGTGCCTCAAGGGTCTATCTTAGGTCCCCTGTTATTTATTTTAAACACAGCTGCTATACATTCGCATATTCAATCAAAAATGCATTGTTATGCGGACGATGCTCAAATATATGTGTCCTTTAAACCAGAAAATCAGAATTTTTATTTTAATAAGAAATTTAAATTTAGAAATATTGCATGATTGGTCCAAGAAGAACGCTTTTGAATGAAACCCAACTAAAACCACTGCTATGTTATTTGGTACTCCCCAACAGTATGTAAAGATTAGATCTGAGAATAGCTTAAAATTATGTAACTCTATTATAGAATTTAAAAGTGCCAATAAAAATCTTGATCTAACCTTTGATAATCATTTAACTTTCACGTGTCATGTAAATAATGTTATAAAAACTACATATTCTCGCTTACAGTGTCTATTTAAATTTTAAAATGTTTTAACAACTAATGTTAAATTGAAATTGACAGAGCTTTGATTCCATCTCTGTTTGATTACTGCGATATTGTTTACGGGCCGTGCTTGTCAGGTTCTGACTCTCATAAAATACAAGTTTTACAAAATTCATGCATGAGATACGCAAAAAATGTCAAAAGAAGAGATCACATTACTCCTTATTTTGTTAAAAATGGTAGGTTTAAAATGGATGTGCGTAGAAATATTCATTATATTAATTTAATACACAAAGTTATAAATACAATAATCTGCCGTACCTCAGATCTAAGTTAATATTTGGTAGTAACATGCATGAGAGAGATCTGTGGAATGAATTACTGTTGCATATACCTCTGCACTCAACCTCCTTTTTTAAATCCTCATATTCTTATTTAGCTGCACATTTGTATAATGTTACCAGAAGATTTAAAATTGACTGTAAGTAATAGCTCATTCAGATATAAACTTAAGGAGGTATATCGTGGTCCGAGGGAAGTGAGGAGCGCAGGGGGGTCCTATGCTTTTGTTATGGGACTAAAGCCCGCTGTCAATTTGAAAAAATTTTGCATTCGACATGCCCAGTAATAAAGAATCTGGGGAATTTGAAGTTTTTGTCAAAAAAGTTGTTTGGTATATCTAGTGTTTACGAAGATAGTTGAAACCGTATAAAAACTAAAAGTCTTTATTGTGCCCGGAAAGAGATGCCGACTTTTAGTTTTTATACGGTTTCAACTATCTTCGTAAACACTAGATATACCAAACAACTTTTTTGACAAAAACTTCAAATTCCCCAGATTCTTTATTACTGGGCATGTCGAATGCAAAATGATGCTCATTTTATACCCTTAATGTTCTATATATTTTAATTTCATTTAACAGACATATTTGTGAAATATTTGTGATTATTATCATTATGTTGGAAGTATGGAAACATTGTGGTAAAGACAGTTTTAATGATTTTAAATAACAATGCAACTGTATTCCAGACAATTAAAATGTACAGAAAAATTTCATTATTTTTCTTAAAAATATATAGATAAAATATGTTATGAATTATAATTAATGTAGTATTAAACACCCTGAACCTATTGAGAAACATAAAATAGGAGAAAAATAGAAATAAAAAAACAAAATAGTTTATCAGATCCTCTGGTAAATATTTTCATAATTTATTAATTGTAGTTCATTACTCATTCCATATTTATTTCAAAATTTTACCAATACAAAGAGCACGTGTTCGTGTTTACCGGCCGGCAGACCAGTTTTTTTTTGTTGCAAATTAGTCCAAGCATTCTGTCACGGATTAATGTTAAATTAGCAGAAATTATTACCTGGACAAAAAAATATGACCGTATAGAAAATTAAATTTTAAATCCAGTTTCTTGTTCTTTAAACTCGATCCAAAATGGCGAACATGGTTAAAAAAAATCGCAAAGTTGCAAAAAACGGTTTTTCTAAAATAAGTAAAAAAATATAGCACCGATCGAAAAATTTTAGATGAGAGGATCAAAATATGACTGAAAAAGTTGCACTTTTTTGGGTGTTTTTTTCAAATAACTATTTCAATTTTTATTTTATGAAAATGACTTTTAAAGAAGGAAACTGCTGACATTTTTTCGCCAATTTAAAAAAAAAATGTTTTTCTACGACTTTCTGGAGCCGAGATAATTTTTTTATTTAAAAAAAATTTTGAAGACGCAATTAACATTTTTTACAGCGATGCACTTGATGGAGGTTAATATTGAATATTTATATTTTTAAAAAAAAAAAATAGTAGGATATGTTTACTTACAAAAAATCAGTCGATAGATCTTTTTAAAACCTACAACTTTCTGTTTTAAAATTTTTCGATCGGTGCTATATTTTTTTAGTTATTTTAGAAAAAACATTTTTTTGCAACTTTGCGATTTTTTTAACCATGTTCGCCATTTTGGATCGAGTTTAAAGAACAAGAAACTCGATTTAAAATTTAATTTTCTATACGGTCATATTTTTTTGTCCAGGTAATAATTTCTGTAAGCATTTCTCTATAATGCTTGGACTAAATACTTATAGCCTAAGAGCTGGCGTGATTTTTTCCCATCATTTGTACCAAAAGATAAGCACATTAATGTTGAAATAGGTTTAAAGTGAACAAATATCGCTACGTTTGGCCGGAGGCGGCTACTCAAACTTTTTTTTTTTTTCAAAAACTCCTTGATTTGTACCACCTGCAGACTATGAAATTCGGCTTTGGGAATACAATTTGACCACAAAAGTGAAATGACAGACAAAAAAGTCGGTTTTTCGTCGGCGTTTCTTAATTACAGCCAATAAAAGGGTTCCGTCTCCGTCGTAAACATCGTAGCAGTCTGTGAGTGCAAGCGAGATGGGTTCAGGCTTGCAAACGCGCAAGGGACGGAGAATGATATATTATTCCTACATTGCACGCATGTTTAGTGGCTCTGTAAGTAGATTTGTAAGAAAATAAATATAAGCAAACATATATTTTATTGAAACTTAACATTCAGTAATAAGAAAACTAAACATTATACACTTTGAAATAAAAAATATGAAAATTTTACTTATACTATTACGAGAGCCATACTTCCATCGTAAGCGTGTGTATTTTTTTCTAAACATTGTTTATTTTAGCAAACCTGCATGTCGGCCTAATAAAGCTTTTTATTTTCGTGGTATTCAAAAAAACGTGGCGGAAGATTAACGAGCATGCGTTGTATTGCTTAACATTTTAATTTACATTTTTGATAAAATATTAAATCAAATGTAGAGCTTCCTTATATACAGAGTGTCTCATAATTAGTGTCCAATAATTTATCACTTGATTATATAGCCAAAAATAAGAATATGTTTTCAAATAAACATGGGTCGAGAGATGCTTCCTAAGGGATCTACGCTCCCTAAATGGGGGCCTCAAAAAATTCATTTTTTTTAATATTTTCGAAACGGGTTCAAGGAAAATTATAAATTTTGACATAATTGACGCTCATTAAAAGATCGTCATAAAATTTTAATCGTCGGCTAAAATTTGCCTCTATTTTTTTACTTGTCGAAATTTTCAAGTTCATGTTTTCATGCCAACATATGATAGATATTCATTTCCTTTACAAAAGAGGTACTCTTTAGTTCTTTGGATAAAATGCTCCATTTCCGAGAAAAACGAATTTAAGCAATTCATTACGTTACCTTAATAAAATTCAAAAAATTTGTCTTGAATGGCTAAAATGGGCACATGTACCATTATGAATTTTCATATGTCATCATATGAATATACATTGTAATAAACAACGTGAAAAGTGCTTAGAAAACTTTGTTATGGGCCGTCCCGAGCAAGGGGAGGGGGAGAATCGAATTTTTGCATGTTGCATTTGTTGCTATAAAATTTGATTGATCTGAGTTTTCTATGAAAAATGGTGATGTTGTTTTGATCAGAATTTGAAAATTTCGGCAAACAAAAGCAATAGGGGCAAACTTTAGCCGACGACCCCCCCCCCAATTGAGATGATTAAAATTTTTGAAAAATTTTATGATAATCTATTTCGACTTTTAAGAGCGTTCATGGTATCAACATTCATAATTTTCCTTCAACCCGTTTCGAAAATATTAAAAAAAAAATTTTTTTTGAGGCCCTATTTAGGGGGTGTAGCTCCCTTAGGAAACATCTCTCGACCCATGTTTATTTGAAAAAATATTCTTATTTTTCGCAATATAATCAAGTGGTAAATTATTGGACACTAATTTTGAGACACCCTGTATATAAGAAAACTCTACATTTGATTTAATATTTTATCAAAAATGTTAATTATAATGTTAAGCAAATTAGTATACAACGCACGCTTGTTAATCTGCCGCCAAAAAAGTACGAAATACTGATGCTATACAATCGTTATTAATTAGGCATATAATTAAGCAGTTATAGTAAAACCAAAAATAACTGTAAAAAAAATCTAACTGGTATAATCAAATTTACAAAATATTTTTAATTAGTAAGTCATCATTTCATTTGTTCACAGCGTATTTGCCTCCAGTTCCTCCTTGACCTACATTAATAATAAGTAGGTAACTATTCTGTCATAAAAACATGCCCTTTGTTTAAACACATCTAAAAACACTTTATCAGAGGCATGCCGGCGAGTTGTACAGTACACCTGCACTTTCCGTATTCCACCGTACCACATATGTATTGTTAGTAATATGTGACCGTACCTATTTCATCGTGACGATGCGAGAACGAATCATTTGCTTTAAAATGTGTTGTAAATTGTAAAGTATCTACATAAATCAATCACTTTTTAAACAGAGGCTAATTAATAAACATTTCATTTAAAAACTAATAAAACACAATCAGAAAAATTAAATTGTAAAAAATATTTTTAGGGGAACTCATTTGGCTTGCTTCTCAAGAAAAATGTAATAATAACTCGAAGTCACTCTTCGACAAGCAACAGTAAATATTACATACAAAATTCTGTATTCAGAATTATGGTTTCTAAAATTATACTGGATCTAATAACTAGTAAAACATACAAAAATCAATTTGTGAAAAATATTTTAAAGAAATCTTAGGGAGACACTGACTCCCCCGCTTCTAAAAAAAACTGCCACTGTGTAGGAAATTTTAATTATCTTATCACGCTCTATTTTAGTTTAGACTGACTGATACCGAATGGCATTTGCCTAATTCTTTCTTCTCTAGTAATTATATTATCGATTATATTATCTGGACTATTATCAAAATATGTGTATTAAGTACTATAATTTATTTGTGTTTATAGCTCTTTTACTATTAGACTAATTATTAATTGTCAGAATTAAAATTTTTTAACTTACTTATTAGTATTTAACAGTATTCGTAAGAACTCGGAATAACATTTTTATTATTACGATTATTTTACATGCAAAGCTTAATATTCCCATTTAAACAAGAACTGCCATCACATTCTTTTATATTATCTAAAATCAGCGCAAATACAACTCAAACATATCGAAGTTAGTCCGGCTCTGGTTCGGCAAAAAATACCTTAGAACGACAACTGTGACTATCGCCCTCTTTTCGATAGTATCCAAACTATAGAAATGTTGAAATACGAAGGATTTCTTCAATTGCTCGGCATGAAAAGATGACGGATAATATAAAATATCAGAACACGTACCTTTCCTGTTTTGTCCAATTGATTTATAAAACTACTCAATAATTCTTATTAATTCATGTATAAATAGTATCCTAAAAGCATTCTGCTGGGTGTGGGTATGTTTATAATACCGTACGCTTTTATCTGTATGTTCAACAGTCGTGGAAAGTTCAGGAAACGTAAGATAAAAAAATATGTTTTTTTTTTCTTACTTAAAATGTGTTGTCAGTTATCTCACACCCTGAAGAACATTTGTATGAGTACTACAGTGAAGAGATATCGTTTCTAACTTGCTTAGATTTTTTAAAGAATTGGACAAAAAATTCATTGAAAATTGCGCATAAAAACGCCCCCCTTAAGGAATAGGTATTTCGTTGATAGCCAAAATTGTTAGTATAATTAAAAAAGTTAAATACTTGATAAATATACATGTTTTACACTCATTATCATCCCTGCCTATTAGCATTAGATTTATCTTCTTTTTGTTATTTTACATCTTTCTGTTTAGTACTGCTAATTATTATTGTAATGCTTTAGTATTTATTTTATAAAAACACTGTATTCACTAGTAGTTGGGCCTAAGCAGTCATTGGCTGAGCCCCGCCAAATAAAGACTTTTTGATTTGATTTGACATTTGACGTCCAACGTGGGGCGCCAAATACAAAGTTATAAGACATTAGCTGCTTTCTTTCGGTTGCCGTTTTCGGATCTAAACGCGTTATGATCCCAAAATCATGTTCGTAGTTGTTTTCTTGTTTCCGGATCCTGTCAGATTATATGATCAGGATCGGTAATCCCCTTTCCCCTACGAATCAAACTTTTTCTGTGATTCGAACTTTTGATCACGATCACATATTTAATATAATCTTAAAATTGTAGTGGTTTCTTTTCTCTATAAGAAGGCAGTTACTATTTTTATTTTAATTGTGTACACAAAAATAGGTATACCTAAACGATATTTAAAATCAAATCAAATGTCAACAGTAAACAAAATCCTGTTCTCTTTGAAATTGGATTCATGGATCTAGTTCGTGTTTGTCTGATCCTGATTCGGTGATCATGATTTAAAGCTGAGAGTGAAAGAAAACGGCTATTATCGACTGTCTCTTCTCCGTCAAGCATTGTATTGCCGTTAATGACTACGCCGTGGGTCCTCCGAACATCTGTTATAAGTTTGTGCGTTTGTCAGACCTGAAGTGTGTTCTGGCGATTTCAATAATATGTTGACAGTTTTCACAATGGCATTTGAGTAAACAAACATAGGACATGTAGATCAAATGTAGCCCCATATAAATATGATCCAGATTCAAAGTTACATCCTGTATTGAATAAAAAATATATATAATTCATCTTTACTCTTATTCATTAGAAACTTGTAATTACTTAAACTGAAATATTAATTGTTAATTTTAATACCAGTCCTCAGTTTATCGGAAAATGTAAGTGTTAGTGTTAGATGACACACTGTATATAATTTTTCTTCTAGGAAAATGTTTAGACAAGACTTGAATTACCAAGAATTTGGATTCAAGAGTCTAATCCACCTGTGTGTATGTCTCTCCTCTATATTTCACTATGTAAGGCCTTCGACTGAGGACTATAAATTATACGACAGGAGTCGACCACTGCCGGATTGTGCCGAAAAGACATATACCATGGCCAGCTACAGTTCTAATAGCAAAAGTAATTCTGAGATAGATTGTGGTGGCGCTTTACCAAGTGTAGATGTAAGTTTTTTGAAAAAGTACCGTACACTACTGTCATAAAATTTTCATTAAAGAAACTACATTGTATTAGCTTCCAGTGTCATATGATGTGATTTATTATACAGGATGTCCTATTCCACAAGTATGGAGCTACTATGAATTTTTTAACTATTTAACTATACTTACTTCTACTTGAAGCTACTTCATTTAGCTGCTAGAGGGTGTAAAAATAGACAAAGATTTTAGTTTTTTTCAAATAACGCTTTGTCCGATTTAAATAAAATTTATTATTCTAATACTTGTGTATACAGGGTGATTCAGTCATAATGTCATTAATTTTAACCACATATTCGGAAGGCTTAATAAAGACAGAAAATTGTAAAAAAAAAATTTTACTTTACTTTTAAAAATGAAATCAACTCATAACTCCCGCTAAGAGGGCGACCCTGCCAGATGCCCGGATGCTCGTAAAATTTTGTAACGTAATGTCACGAATCAGTCGTCAGCTGAAGCGAACAGTTTTGCCAAATTCACATCATAATCTGTGGTTCACATTTATTGTGGGTTCTGCGTTCCTCATTAAACGTATAAGTAAATAAAGGAGCATACTGCATTTTATTATAAATAATTTGAACAATTGTATTAACTTAGTGCAGAATGTTTTAACAAGTCTGACTTCTCGAAGTCAACTTTCGTTAAAAGAAAATAAAGCAGATGTAGTTACCTCCTATTTGTAGGCACACCGTATTTTATCAAATAAAAAAAGTCGGCACACTAAATACCCGAATATACAAAATACATTACACATAGTTACAAAACCATTAACAATTTAAAGTGTTTATTCAAATCTATCACCTTCCATATCTCCCGCATTTTTCCAACATTATATCAATGCGCGCAGAGAACGTGCAGGACATCGACAAAATGACTTAAATGTGATAGAGGCTGTTTTAAATTTAATCGAGTAGCAGACTACTATTTCCACAAAAACAAATTCGAGGTGACTGGAGATATCACAAACTAAAGTTTGGCAGATATTGCACGAGAATTCACTCAACCCGTACCATTTTCAAAAAGTTCAAGCTTTAGCTTACCAGTTGATTTCCCCAATCATCTTGAATTTTGCAGTTGGTTCCTAAATCAAAATGCAGCAGACCCTAATTTTATTAACAAAGGACGGATAAATTCTGTTTTACTTGTGCTGGCATTTTAAACAGGTAAAAAACATATTACTTTCGATTATTACAACAACAATAACTACATGAAAGCCCAAAGGCTTACAGCAAATTAAAAAATTAACATTATGATTTTTGGCAAAGCATGCTCAGGTTCTTGCTGGAAAACAATAACAATTTAATATATTGATTGCATAATTATAAAAAATAATTTATAGCATTTTAAATTATTATTGGCCGACGTGAGCAAACCGTTTATTTATTGTCTTTATATGGGCGGAAATATATAAATATGGCATCTGGGGCGCCCTGTTCATATCGTAGCCGTACGCAAACTGTGATTACCCGGGTGACGTCAACCGGTCAGTAACAACCTGAAAAGGGGGTTAAATAATGATTTGAAAAAAAATTTTTCTCAGCTTAAATATGCATTTAAATTTTTTTAATCACGCCATCGTATTACACTCATTTTTCTCTGTCTGCTCTTAAAATTAATGACATTATGACTGAATCACCCTGTAGATATCACTGTTTGATATAGTAAAAGCAACTGCTTCTACAAAAATGGTTTCTTGTAGTTTTTTATGTCTTCAATTTTTTATATTCATAAAAGTTTCGATGTAGGTAATTAATTTGTTACGCCAATGGATTTTTTATGCAAATCTAATTTAATTATCAACTTATTTAAATAATTATCAAAAATATATTTATTTGGTAAAAAAACAAAATAATACTTTATGGATTACAAAAATTTGCAATCGAATATACTTTTGTGAAAATTTTGAAAACAATCACCATTTTTTGTAACAAATAATTAATAAAAAAAACATCATTTATCTTATATTTATCCCTTTCTGTAAATTGTAACCACCAAATCAGAATATCTGTGATTATTCTTATTTAAGGAACATTAAATTATATGTATTCAATGAAAAAGTATCGTTAATAATTAATAATATTAAGTCAAATTTCTACTGAAATTGTATGGGGTATGTATTAATAAATATTTTCTGTAATATCTTCATAATCGAGCACAATTTTGACTTTTGATAGGTATCAATTTTTTGTGTAGAATAAAATTCTCTACCTATTTCTGATAGTTGCATGTAAAACTATAAACGTACAAAGAGTTACGGAAGAATATTCACAAAGGGTTGTAGTAAAATGAAATTTTAACACCCTGTAACTTTTTTAGCAACATTTTTAGTTTGAGCAAGTTTAATTAAATTGACACCATTTAGGTTCTAGATTATACCCTTGAAGTATATAACATTCGTTAGGTGATACCCTGTAGAGTATGTTGAGAATTTTAGTTTGTTTTTGTCCACTGGATACTGAATGTCGCTAGTGGTAGATAACTCTCATCATTTGAGAGGGAATCCATTCAATTGATTTATGTTGATCTGTTGTTAGAAGTAAATTAAGATTTTTTTACTTAGTTATGTTGAAGTGTAGTATCTAGTGGTATTTCCCAAAGGAAATGAAAGTATTACAAAATAGAAATCAAAGTAATAAAAATAATTCAAGTGTAGAACCAGCACACAAAAAATTATGTTTTCATAATGGTATATTTTATTAGGAAATAGCTTTTATAGCGGACAAGACGTTTTAGAATTATTTGGAAATCTTTGATTGGAGGTAAATTTAGTTAAATTGTCTTAATTTGACTCCTTAATATTTTGGTAATTCCATGTAAACAGAATAATGAGATAGCCTGTAAATCATTTTTAACAAAAGTTATTTTATTAACAAGTGGACGGATGTAAAAATATTCCTTCCATCCGATATATTCGTGCCAGGCAAGGAGATACCCAGGACATTTGTCTCTCAGGATGTGCAAGAAAATGATGAAATTGACGTTGTGGTCGGAGAAATTTATGACCTCTCTAAATTCTGGGTGTACAAATACGATTCACAGCTAGACGTTTTAATGAACAGCATACAGTGAGTAATGAACTTGATTACATAGTTTTAAATTATTAATGATGATCTGCGTGGTGGCTTGCGGATGTGTAAATAGGGAGGATAGTTTTAAACAGTTAACATGTCTGAAATAATTTATATAATAAACCAATTCTCCAGTTCTTTTGGGATGGGATGAAGTAATTTTTCTGCTTTATCAACAATTTTTCTATACTGAGCATAACCTTCTTAAAAATTGAAAAAAAAAAAACGCTTTTGATCAACAACTACTATCATGTGGGGATACATAATATTTTTAAGTTTCATACTTTCATAGAAAGTAATACGGAGTTGCTGTTAATAAATCGTTGTAACATAGCAACAACTCCTGCACTAGTTTTGAGTTTTCACTTTTAAATATTTGTTGATGTTTATGCACTGAAGAAAGCTTCCACCTGATACTAAATAATTTGTAACATACTTTTCACTAGAGTGGTAAGAACACAGAACTTAACTTCTTAAATGCTTAGTATATACAAACATTGCAGTTGATATTGCACATAAGAATTCACATTTAAATTAAGTTTGATATAATTTTTAAATAAATTTTCCAAATTTGCTTTAACTTACAAATAATGATTGTTGTCACAAACTCAGTTGACAACAAAGCTGATTGACTCGTATTTATTTACAAAAAAAAAAAGGCTGAATAACAATGAGAATTAAACGAAATCTATAAAACGTGACAAGTAAATGTTGAAACAAAAGAGTTGATTTAGTAATTCAGAATGTCCCCTAAGGCCGGTGTCCCATGCATCCGAATTCCGATAATACGAAGGTCCGAAAGTGTTCCTATTGGTTAATATACATTCAAATTTTTACCGCTCATTTTCATCCGAAATTTTTAAAATTCATACGACGTCGGAAAAAGTAGAAATAATTTTAACTTTTATCCGAAATCGTATGTTTTTTAACCTCACTTTTTAAGTTTTTAACATACTATGATTGTTGTTTGATATATTTACAGTCAAATAAATGTTATATTATAATGTCGAATATAGAAAATATAATACTACGTATATTTTCTATAATATATACCTATGGTTGTCATTTGAAAATGTTTCACCTTCATCTTGTAATAAATTCCATGGTTCTATACTTGATTTCTATGAGATTAATTTCGGATGCATGTGAATTATAATATTATCATTCGTACGAATTAAAATATTTTCGGATATCGTACATCGGATTTCGGATGCATGGGACACCGGCCTAACAGCTCAAGTTCTTTTTGGCATAGTGCTGACTAATTATCTATAAATGAAAAATTCCCAAACCGGAATTTTTTTTTGGAAATCAGGAATTGCCCTTTTATCAATTTCCCTTGTTTGTATTGTTGAATTATTTATTACTTCTGGGACATTTTTAGAAGTTGCTAAGCTGCATTATATTATGTAGTTTTGTGCAATATTGCAATATTGTTGTGAAAACATCACAAACACTGACGACAAGAACAAAGAAATTTATTATTTTCAGTACCTGGTTAGTTTTGCAGCTAAAAGTATCAGATCAAACCAAATTTAATTATTTGTAATAGTCATCGAATTGTTATATAAAGTGGTTGTAAAATGAGACTAATGTAGAATGTTTTTTCTAAGATTGTATGACATTAATGTTCAAACTTTTAGTTGCTAGGGCTCGTAGAAGCTGCCACCGATGATTTGTTGAATGAATGTATTTGTTTATTTTCTTATAATTTTTAGAAAGTTCTACAGGGAGCATGCTGAGGAATATCTTATTCCGGACCATTTAATAAAGGAAGGTGTCTATTGCGTCCAGGTTATTTTCGGAGAGTATCACAGAGCTTTAATTGTTGATACAATGCCAGAGCTAGAAGACATGGTTAGGGTGAGTGCATTGAAGTAAAACTGTTTTCTTACATTAATTTAACTAAGGACATCTAATCTGCTTTCTTTCAACATAGAAGATGAAAATATAAAAGACAATTTTTTTTGTTATTTCAACTCATCAATGATTTATAACAGCATTTTTTGAAATACCCTGTATAGAGTGTCCCATTTGATGGATTATGCCTTAGCTCGGGTGTAATAATAATACAAAAATGGGTTTCAAACCAATTTCTCCACATTTTAAAATTATTTTCTCTTATACAAGATGTCTGGTTTCTTCTAGATTATTGCACCGAGGTATTTCCTTTATTTAAAACACATTTTTTTATAAGCACAGCTTACAACATTGACACAATAAATGTCAACCTAACCTTCAAAAATTTCCCCCACGCATGGCTGCTTACACATGGTGATTCAGTCATAATATCATTAGTTTTAGCCACGTATTCGGAATGCCTAATAAAGGCAAGAAATCAAAGAAAAAAAAAAATTCGCGATCTTTTAAAAAATAAGCAAATTATCCCTTAACTCCCTTTAATCCAAATCTGCATATCCAATTCGCATATAAAGCGCGAGCTACAGTTTCTGCCTCCAGGTTCTCTAACGGGATTGCTTCTGGCCACCTGGTGAAACGGTCTACGCAGGTTAAGCAGTAGCGGTAGCCCTCGGATGGCGGCATCACGACGATATCCACGTGGATATGTTCAAATCTCGTTGACGAAGGTTGAAATGAACCTGTCGGAGAAGTCACGTGTCGTGTTACTTTTGCGCGTTGACATTCGACGCAGCAACGTGCCCATTGTCTGCTATCACGCTTTATTGACGGCCAGACGAAGCGTTGCGTAAGGAGTTTGACTGTGGCGTTAATTCCGGGATGCGAAAGACCATGCATCGAGTCGAACACTACTCTACGAAATGGCTTGGTGATAAACGGCCGGGCCACGTCCGTAGATACGTCACAAAATACAGTCGCGTTCGTGTCAGGTATTTTGATCCGCTTTAGTGTGAGGCCGTGTTGTCCGTCGATGTACTCCTTGATTTCGTCGTCATTTTGTTGCGATGCTGCGAGTGCCTCATAGTCTAAAGTCGCGCGTATTTCGTTTACCCTGGACAAGGCATCCGCTACAACGTTCTCGCGACCAGCCATGTGACGAATGTCTGTCGTAAACTGGCCAATGAAGTCTAGATAGCGGAATTGTCGCGGTGTACACTGACTCGACTTTTTCGCGAAGGCAAACGTGAGAGGCTTATGATCGGTGTAAATCGTAAATGTTCTTGCCTCGACCATATGCCGGAAGTATTTAACTGCTTCGTAAATCGCAAGAAGTTCGCGGTCGTAAGCAGCGTATTTGCACTGAGCTGGGTTAAGTTTTTTCGAGAAATACCCTAGCGGTTCCCAATCGTCCTCAACTTTTTGTTGCACTACGGCACCAATTGCAAAGTCAGAAGCGTCACACACTAGAGCAATTTGCGTATTTTCGCCGGGGTGCGCGAGTAGAGCTGCCTGTGCTAAGCTCTCTTTCGCCGCTTCGAAAGCACTTTTCGCGTTTTCTGTCCAATTTATGGGTGCTTTCCCTTTCACATCCCCTTTAAGCAGGTCATTCAGTGGCGCCTGGGTACCTGCTGCGTTGGGTACGAACCG